CAAAAATTTTATGAGCGTGGAATTATGCTACTACCAGAAAGATGGCAAAAGGTGTTGGACCAGAACGGTCAATATATAATTTAATAAAGTATTTGTTTATTATACGAAAACTGTCTTTCATTTCCACAAAAAAAAAAAACGAAATGACTTTCCGAACAACCCTATACATAATGCAATCCCAACTTTTTTACCACGAGATCTAGTAGATTCCTTAGTCAAAATTCTCCTCCAAATCCATAAAATAATATCATACCAGTTTCAGGAATAACATAAAAGAAAACTCACCGAAATATTAAGCACATTGATACGTAACATTGAACGTTATCTGTCTGCCCAAATTCATGACCATCGTCTATGTCCATTCCTAGAATGACACTGCTCATTACTATCTCTCTTTCTTTCAGGTTCATTAGTGATTGTATGGAGAAAGGGTCCAACATTGATTGCTGCAGGTCAGCATACCATTTCGAGTGACCACAGGTATTCCTTGCTAGGACACAACTTACAAATTAAAGACGTCAAGACGGAAGACCAAGGCGACTACACCTGCCAAATAGGAGACGGGACATATGGGGACTTGATCCACACGATAGAAATCTTGAGTAAGACTTTTTCAAAGTATTGTCCACGTTTTCATGGGTATTCCACGGTAAAAATTTTGTCAAACATCAAATTCTTTTTGGCAATTGTTTATTCGTTCACCAATATTGAATTTGAGGAGAATACGTTTAGATCTCCTTATTACATAGCAAGTCTCCTTGATCATTTTACTGTAGTGATGCGTGATGATACTAAAATTCTTCTATTATTGTCTGCATCATCTTTTTATTAAAGTTGCATTCCTTAGAACTCCATGGATATTCCACAGTAATAATTTGTCAAACATCAAATTCCTTTTGGCAATTGTTTATTCATTCACCAATTTTGAATTTGAGGAGAATACGTTTAGATCTCCTTATTACATAGCAAGTCTTCTTGTTCATTTTACAGTGGTGATACTGAAATTCTTCTAATATTGTTTGCATCATCTTTTTCATAAAGTTGGTTCCTTAGAATTCCTCCATTAGTTGAAGTTTTCATGGATATTCCACAGAAATGATTTGTAAAAAATCAAATTCTTTTTGGTAATTGTTTCTTCGTTCACCAAATTTGAATTTGAGCAGAATAATTTTATATCTCCTTATTACAGTCTTTACATAGCAAGTTTCCTTGTTCATTTTACTGTAGTGATGCTTCGTGATACTGAATTTCTTCTATTATTGTCTGCATCATCTTTTTATTAAAGTTGCATTCCTTAGAATTCCTTCATTAGTTGAAGTTTTTATGAATATTCCACAGTAAATTTTGTCAAACATCAAATTCTTTTTGGCAATTGTTTCTTCGTTCACCAATTTTGAATTTGAGCAGAATAATTTTAGGTCTCCTTATTACAGTCTTTACATAGCAAGTCTCCTTGTTCATTTTCCATAATGATACGTGGTGGTAGTAAGTTTCTTCTATCATTATTTGCTTCATCTTAAAATTGATTCCTTAGAATTAGAATTTCTTCATTAGTTCAAACTTCATCTCCCTTTAGCATTTGTCGAAATAAATTGTAGCAATCAAAGTAAATTAAATGTTTCACTTCAAAATTGACTTGTGCGAAATTCACATCATCCTTCTCCATTAATTTACTCCAGAAATTGGAGCGATTCCCGTGAGTATTTTTGACGACTGAAGTAAATAATTGTTGTGCATGTAAATGCCAAAGAAAAAGGACGAAAGATCCTCGAGAACGTTTGACAATAAAAGTCTTAAGAGGTTGGTGGTACACAAAGAACTTGCACGTTTTAAGTACGTCACTTGTACGAATCTTACCCTCTCTTGCCCTTTTGCTAGTTCGATTGTTGGCTTGTTCGTAAAGTGAATGCAAATTAGGCGATTTTGCAATTTAAATTCGCAATCAACTCCCAACCTTAACATTAATATTCATATTCGTCTAAAAACCCACGGGAACCAGCTACATCACTTCGCCTGAGCATTAATATAGTTTGCGAATGCTGAAGTAGTTGCCTTACATGATCGAAACGATGTCGGGGACGCCCCAAACGCCTTTTCGACATCAAGGCATCTATCTTTTGATGTCCCTCCATCTACCACACATATATCATCAATTAAAACCCGTGGGAGGCGTGAGTCTGTTAGTCTGTATGTTTGCTGCTGTTAAACTGGAGAACCTGTGGATATTTTTTGATGGAACTTCTACTGTTACGAAGAATATTGTCTTTAAACAGTTCTCGATGCCGTTGTTGCACTAATTATTGACATTAGGTATATCTTAAAAAGTCACTCATTAATTTTTGACCGAATTTTTACTACTTATCGCAGAGAAGCATTTGGAAGAAATTGGAAGAATAGAATTTTGAACCTCAAAATTGCAATATTACAAAAATAGTGCCTACGTTTGAGATTAATATTATTTTGAGGTGAACCATTAATGAGTAATATCTATTGATGGCTGTTTTTATTATTTAGTATTGTTATTAAGGGAACAATAGAACGCAATGGGGTCGTGGTAACATGAAATATTTATTAAATCTCGCACAAACAGTAATTAGAATGCAAATTGAGCTTGCGGTGTGCATATCAAGCAGGCGTCGCCAAATATTGTGTGACATATGTCGCGTACGTCGCGCTTTTGATCACGTACGTCATGAATCATGAACATCTACCTTTGAATTTTGCATACAAAGTGTTCACTTACCGACGCCTCTGCCGGAATTTTTGATTCGAAACCTTTCGGTATTGATTTTCGAAAACAAATGAATATCAGATTGATCTTTACATTCCTGTGCGTTGGCACCATCCACACTAGAAATAACAACAGATACATTAGTTTTGGACCATACTGTACAATTATTTCTGGTTTATCAAAAGGGTAAGTATACTTCATTTACTTTCTCTAGTGATTTGCCCCTTCCAGTGTCTTGAATGCGCGCTGGCAAAATCGTATAGGTAGGGAGAAAACAGCTCATTATACTCTCGACTCTTGATCATTAAACGTACTTTTCCATACAGTACCTGCCAAAATTTTTGTTCAATCATGAATAGTAGTGCGAGTCGAAAACAAGCGTTAAAGCCTTTAATATGTCTTCAAATATAAATAAACATCTCGTTGATATTTTCAGTAGTAAATGGTACCGATAACAGCACATTTGAGCAATGCAATTGTAGTGGATAAAATGGTCAATTTTTCTGTGCAGTACTGTACGGATTGTACGCTCCTCACCGGTTAAGAGTTTGACCGAGAGTTGTCTCCTTCCTTTTCTGGCCTAGTGCTGTTCTTTTCTACTTTGCGCCGGTCAAACTGAAGGTCACATCGCTACAGAAAGTAAACGAAGTATAACATAATACATAATAGTTTTTGGTGAATCTTCACCTTATCACATTGTGTAAAAGATCAAAGCCAAAATAGGGTTGTAAATAATAATTATTGATGTAAAACCAACACCAAGCAACTTTTTTAAATGACTCCTATTGAATATATTCGAAAGATGGCATGAATTTTTTTTGAAATACTTGTGAATAACTAAAAATATTAATTGCTTAATAAAATTACCAACCCGGAGACAATGCAAATTCTTGTATGAAGTATTTCTCATGCTAGGAAGTCGACGCATATTAGATATGCATTGATTTTGAGTTAATAGGAGCTTCAAGTCTAGGGTCTCAAGTGATTGAATTAACCGCAGCAAATGCAGGGCACATACTAATTAAATTATATTACTACATCGATCCACGACTAAATACATAACTTAATTTTTGTGCCACCGCAAACAAAATTATGAGAGTTATTACAGATTATATTTACTGGTTATAACCTGCTACAATGTAATAGGTTTATCTGAAGTTTGCTTCATATTTGTCCTTAATCTTCCTCGTACTACTACCACCTATATCTTATTACGAAAAACAAATCTAATATTGAAGAAGATTGCAAATAAATGTTACGTACTCTTTTTCACTTACATACTTGCCAATTTTATTGTTTAACAAAATGAATATTGAACCAACCAAATCACACATCAATTAGCCAAAATGTTGTAAACTTCTGATTCGGATTCAGATGATGCTGGACGTGGACTATCGCTTCAGTAAACAAAGCGAATTTTAATCGTTAATAACTGAAGAACTACAAAATCAAAAACTCCTAAAGGTCTAAAGTAAGACTTCCAAACGTCCCACGACGTCATGACAACTATATTTGGATATTTTGCATTCACTAAAATTAATTACATCTTGTTTCAAGTGATAGCAGCTTGTCGTCATTCACACGAAACCAAAGCAATCGAAGCTTCGATAGGAATTACAATCAACATTCCAATTATTGTGCATTTGACTGGCCTTAATCCAATTTTACTTACATTACATAATATGTAGTGAGCAAACACACGGATATAATCGGTGTAACGCACAGAATAAACTTGTGATCGCACCAATTCAATAATAATAATCAAAATTAACAGCATCTTCTTGTAGTAGTCCAATTTGCGAGAGGCATATTGCAGGTGTACTTTGACGGTTGGATCACGATGATAACGAATGATGTGAATAATTAATTACTATAAAAGCATCGAATCATCTATGCAAGAACGATCAAAGAGACTGATGGATTAGTAACCGTAAAAAGAATACTTTGATAGAAGGAGATCCATATTTATGTATATCGTAGTGAGTATTCTGCAAATGGAGAACTTGAAGTTTTGTATTGAGGAAATGTAATGATTGATAATCTCGCTACTGGGGTCTTCATGTAAACGAAGCAGTAAGACCATAGCTAATCAGCCCACAAAAATGATGACTTGGTGAGGAAATTCTAAAATATTTGTGAACATTTTCTGCATTCAAAACTAATCATCATCGAAAGATCGTCAGTCCTAAGACTGGTTGGACACGCACCTCCACTCTTTTCTATCCTGAGCTAATCTTCGCATTCCCCTAAAATCAGAACATCCCACATTCTTAACTGTTTTCGAACAGTAATCTAATCTAGGTCTACCTCTACTCCTTTTTTCGCTTCTAATATGTCTTTACACTAGACTTTCATGCCTGAGAAGGTAAAACCCATCTCGCCTATTTTTTATTAACTTTCATAGAGCCCCTTGTTCTCCTATTCTTTCTAATTCCTCTTCATTTCTAACCTTCTCTATCCACGGTATCCTCATCATTCGTCTGTAACACCACATTTTCTAAATTAACCCTTCGCGAGCACAGAAGTGACTTCTTTTTATTGAAAGCGACTCGACCTTGGGCTATCCTTTGCTTTATATCCCTACTACTCCTTCCGTCCTGACTTATCTGACTTCCTAGATACCATAAAACAGCCACTTCTTCTAATCTTTCTTTTAGTAATAAATACTTTTATTTCAATCAAACGAATATTCTTACATTTGGTTATGACTTTGGTACTAATTTTGAACTTAACCGTTGGAAAGTAGGATTGACCAACCTTTGGTACCAATTTTGAGCTTGACCTTCGGATAGTAGGATTGACCAACCTTTGGTACCAATTTTGAACTTAATCTTTATATAGTAGGATTGACCAACCTTTGGTACCAATTTTGAACTTAATCTTTAGATAGTAGGATTGACCAACCTTTGGTACCAATTTTGAACTTGACCATTAGATGGTAAAATTGACCAACCTTTGGTACCAATTTTGAACTTGACCATTAGATGGTAAAATTGACCAACCTTTGGTACCAATTTTGAACTTAATTGGAGAGTAGTATTGACCAGCCTTTGGTACCAATTTTGAACTTAACCTTTGGAGAGTAGTATTGACCAACCTTTGGTACCAATTTTGAACTTAACCTTTGACTAGTAGTACTGACCAACCTTTGGTACCAATTTTGAATTTAACTTTTGGATAACAGGATTGACCAATAACTCTTCTATGTGAAATTGAGAATAAATTTTCAGTTTCAATCATGATAACTGTCTTTTCACTGAAGGCTCTTCGTTCCAAAGTATCCAACGACGTTTGGTAGAAGTTCTACGAAATTAAAGTTCACAAACTGCTTGATTCCAGATGAATATTAATACGGCAGCTGTGTAACAGCGGTGACGTAGTAATATTAGACTCGACACAGGGGCGGAACAGGGTGGTAATGGAGGGGGTGTAGGTTTAACATAATGTAATTAAAATGCAAATTCCCGTATAAGGGAAGTGGAATATCCAATGAAGTCTGTGCTGTTCTGCAGATAATACAATTCCATGTAAATAGCACGGGGGGGGAGGGAAATATCATGCAGTGTAATAAATAAAGGAAAATTAAGACACCAGATTCATATAATGGAATTTAAGAGTATGGACTCAAAAAGGGGTAAAACAATTTTTTACTATTTGACTTAAAAACTTTTTATCGCAATGGGATTGGATATTGGTAACGAACAGTCGACCACCAGAAGCACAATCATAAATGAACCCTTTAAAATATCAGGTCTGTCAGAAATGAATTCAAAAAAGCACAAAGTTACTGGAATGGAAAGAAAACTGTTCTTACTTATTACAGTTTGTTAACAAAAATTTCTCAATTATACTTGAGCGATTTGTTATCTAAAACAGAAAAATTTCGACCACCAAATGTCAAGTCCACAGAAAAGAATTTAAAAGTCTTGCCAAAAAGGAAATCGTGCTTGGTTTCTACGGTCCTTTTACCAATATTTCTTAACAGTTCCTTGAAACTTTTTGTCGCAATTATGTACTTTGAGTATTCGCCATTTCAAACGTAAATACCTACAATATCCGCGTTCGTCTGGAGGTACAATTTGAAAGAGGACTTTTTAAATGTAACTTTTTATCGGGATTGATTCAAGAGCAGCAATTATTTCGGCCGCATAGAAAATCGAGGAAATCGCCGAGAGCTAAGCGGTACAACAAAGGGTAAAATGCATTGTGAGAGAGAGCGTAAGATATTCTCAGTATCTTTAATGCTTGCGCCGCTATTACCGGAAACTTCGCTGTATGGATAATAAACTTGTTCGTTATCTGTTCCAGTGCCTCCAAGCCTCCAAATGCTCCCATCAGACGAAGAAGTTATTGCCCGCAAGGGAGGTGCAGTTACGTTCGAGTGCCATGCTAGCGGCAATCCCGTACCGACTGTGCAATGGTCCAAAAAGGTGAGATAAAACACATTGTAAATGCCTCATCGACAAACGATTTTATAACTACTTAGCATATATCCCGTAACATTTAATGCCAAAACCCCGTAGGAATAACCAACAGAGTTTAAATTCAAAAGACTACTAGAGAACTCAACATTTTCTAGTTTCTTTGTTTCATAGTTTTACTCTGATCTATCTTATTGTTGGTTAATAATCCACTTCCTAAAAGCTATCTAAATAGAGTTTTCAGAGCTATGAATTTTTAATAGTGATTAATATTTAACATTAATTACAAATTATCTCAAATTAGTAAGGAAAACTTGTTGCTGCTGTTAAGCCCTCGTCGGGAATCGATCCCGGGACCTTTCGCATTACGTACCAATGCTTTTATCATTAGGCTACGAAAGGTTACAGCAGCAAGAACAACGAAAGTACTCTTAGTACGTTTTCAATTTTTCGTCATTAATTTGTAGTGGATAATAATTAAATTTATAAAAAATTTCAAAAGTTTAGTCCAAGCACATCAGTCAACGATCTACTTGTCGAATTCACTGTAACCCTTAAAGTCTGAATACGTTGTTTTGCCCTTAGTTAAGGAAACTCCACGATTCCAACCAAAATCCTCATCATTCTTCTTCTTCCCCTATTTCTTGATGTGATTGCAGCCTTAAAACTGAAGATTACTATTTCAATCTTTTGTAAATGTTCGTCTGAACAATACATGTTTTCTGAGTTAACCAAAGTCCAAAGGATTTCAAAGGAAACCTTCATGGTCTTTTAGGTTAATTCAACATTCAGTGCTTTTTACGTGTGTGTTATTTTGAACAACTCAGCTAATCCAATTCCCAAAACCTCCAAATATAATATTCAAGAATTTAGATAGACTATGAGGCAGTATTCACAACGTTTGAGCCCAAAAGAAAGCCAAAATCAGTTATTTGCTTCTTCAATTCTTCAAATATCCAAACCTCCAATGATCATCATCATCAGATAAACTCCATTTTGAATTTAAATACAAATCTGCTGACTTTTGGTCAGTCCAAATCTTCATAAGTCACTAGTTAACTTCATTATTTTATTACGATATCAAAACTCAAAAAGGAATCGTTTTTGGGCATCATTTTTTTCCATTTCAGGATGCCCTTCTACCATCTGGATTACAGGTTGAAACAGGCTTCAGTCTAAGCCTTTCCCACATTGAGAGGAGAGACTCAGGAGTTTACCAGTGTACTGCTTCCAATGGTATTGGTCAACCTATAACGGCAACCATAAGGCTACATGTTCTTTGTGAGTGACACCATCAACCATATTTTCTTGCCCTGTTTTCTACATTTTGTATTAAAGTCATCCAGTGAATTGGTGTTTATAATTATCACCCAAATCACAAAAGAACTTAAAGTCATAATGAGATTCCAAAGGGAATAGTATCTAAATAGATGCGCAATTGTCTAATGTCATTACAATCAGTAGATACAAAAACAAATGAACCGAATTATAGTAAAAATTCAAGAAAAAATGCTACTTTTGTGTCCCTTGGTTGATGTCGCTCTAATATTTGTTTTTATAAAACGCTTTGATACATTTGCAACAGAATGTACCAGTTTATCAACTTGCTCTTTAGTAATTAAAGCCTATCATACAGCGTATGTACAATAAAAGAGACAAATAGAAGTGAATAACGCTAGTTTCTGGGAATTATTCCATCTGCCATTACATTAATGAATTTTATGGAATGTATCTCAAAACATCCACCGCTTCTCGGATGTAAAACGGTTAGTCCCCTACCTGCCTGGGGTTTCGCTCATAGTTAAATGCGAGCATCAGTTTCAGCTGAGTGGTTTTTCTACATTTAAAATTTTATAATCGGCTTGCCAAATGGAGAAAACGCAATAAGGCAAATATTTCGATTTCAAACGCATAGTATCGAAGCAACTTTAGTAATGTATATTATTTAGACGACCTCATCATAGCCCTTCATGCCTGAGAAGGTGTCCTACCAACCTATCTCGGTGATTTTTTATTGACTTTCATAGAGTCGTCTGTTCTCCTATTCTTTCTAATACCTCTTCATTTCTAACCTTCTCTATCCACGGTATCCTCATCATTCGCCTGTAACCCTACATTGCGAACGCTTCTCCGCCGCGTCCACCGTCCATGTTTCGCACCCGTACAACTCCGTGGTCCAGACATACCCAAGTGTCTTCTTTTTATTGAAGGCGACTCGACCCTGCGCTATCCCCTGCTTTATATCCCTACTACTCCTTCCGTCCTGACTTATCTGACTTCCTAGATACCTAAAATCAGCCGTTTCTTCCAATCTTTCGTTTCCTGTCTTTGTATTTCCTCTTTCCCTACTGTTTCTTCCCTTACATACCAGAAGATCATTTTGTTTCAATATTTTGTAAATGTTTCTTTCATTAATTCATATTTTCTCAGTTAATCAGAGTCCAAAGGTTTCCAAAAAAAAATTCCGATTTAAACCATAAGTGAGTGCTTTTGTTCTTATCTCAATATTTTGTAAATGGTATTGTCAACAATTCATTTTGCCTTTATTTAATCCAATGTCCAAAAGTTTTGCAAAAAAGAAATCCTTATTAAGACGTACTTTACGATATCCAAAAACAAACCTAAAGACCATAAAGATAGTAAATTTGTAACTTAGAACAATCAGGCTGATAACTGTAGTAAACAATGTTAATTATCAAAAAATATTAGTAGTACATTATGAAGAGGACCTACATCCAACCTGCAGAAAAACGAGTCTAAAATTAAGCCCTCATATGAAAGTACATTCCATATCCCAAAATTTCGAACTAACCCAAATCGTCTATAATCCTTATAGTCCTTTTGCATTTTTCCCTTACGTCTTTTTCAAAAATCAGTTAAATATGACAACAGTTCATATTAATAAGCATAAGTTTCAATCCCCAATGCACTGGACTGAAATGAAATAATCTCATCAGGATTATCTATGGTCCTTTGGACCATCAAAACCGCAAACCTCGCTTACAGGATTACAGAAATGCAATACTCCCGCAAGCCCCACTGTATTTGACCATTCGTCCGTGCTTGATGATACGTCGCTACTTGCTAATATCCATGTGCACATTTTCGGCATAATAAATATAATGCGCTATCTGTAGCAGGAACCATAGTTATCGCATCTGATTACAATTTTGAAATAGATAAATTGGTTACACGTCATTATTACGAGAACGAATGACGATTGTAGCATTAAATTACAATGAATTTTATCAACCATCGTGGATTAATGGATTTGAGTTTTGCAACAGTTTCTGCGGATACATTTGCTATTATTACAATAATTTTCTATGTATTAGGGTCGAATCGCCTTTAACAAAAAGAAGTCACTTCTATGCGAGATAGGTTGACAGGTCACCTTCCAGTCATAGGAACGACTTCTTTTTATTGAAGGCAACTCGACCCTGCGCTATCCTCTGCTTTATATCCCTACTACTCCTTCCGTCCTGACTTATCTGACTTCCTAGATACCTAAAATCAGCCAGTCCTTCTAATCTTTCGTCTCCTATCTTTATATTTTCTCTTTCTCTACTTTTTCTTCTCTAGCATACCAGTATTTTTGTGTTATTTATTTTCATACAATACTGTTTAGTCAAGACGTGTCCAGCCAGCGATTATGATAATTAAAAAAATTGCTACTTGAATTTTTTTCAAAAAAACCGCCCTGAAGGTGTCAAACATTGTTTTCTGTAACTTTAAAGATAACTGAGATACAGCGTCTAAAATTTTTACTCAATTGAAAACTTAATAATACCTATTACAAGAGAGAGAATTAAGGTAAAACTACTGATAGAAACAAATCCCTGTTTAGAACAACTACAAACTATAATAAACACATTTTTATCCAAAGTACTACAAACTATTGCATAAATTTCGTTAACTAATATTTGTTTTTCTTTAAGGGTGGTAGATAGTTGTGCTAAATAACGTTAAGTCGAACTTGGTTTTATTTTGAAATCTTAAAGTACATACTCATAAATTCAATTATTTTGAAATACAATCACTTAACGATGCGTCGAATAGCGTTTACTTTTTCAATGTACTTCCTCCAATACATTTTACTACCCTACTTGTCAATATCACACACCACTTACTGCCCCAATGCTCGTTTAACTCGTACCCTTGACTGAATCCATTAGCTATGTATATAACGCTGAACTAACAACCACCATACGATAGATTTCCTACATGCTACATTCGAATTTTTGTCAACAATCTCACAAACTTTCTAAAATTGTTAGCATTTTATTTTGTTACTAAACTCGTTTAAAGTTTTGCTTTTAACAAGTCTATTTGTGGCAGTCTATGTTGTCACAGTTTGATATTATACAATTCTATAAATATTTCGTCACTACAATTTGGCTTTATTTACAACAAGTATCACAATACGTCAGGAAGAGATGTAGCTTAATTGGTAAAGGGGTGGACTATATGCTAGACTGTCGCAGGTTCAAACCTACACCTAGCAATTTTTAAAAAAGGCGTTTTTCAGAAATAAAAAATTAAAGCTAGATGTAAACCCTAGAGTTGTATTAGTCCAAAACAATCCAAATGCGCCTGTTACAGTTCTAGAATAATAAAAAGAGATAACCTTGTGGTTATTCACTAAATCTCTCTCCACAAATTTAGTTATAATTAAAAGAAGTTAGATTTACAGCTTGTGTGGGGTTATTCAAAAGGTAAAACTGTAAGGTATTGTTAATTCTTCCTTAGATAATTAATAGTAAATAATTTAGACAGAATTGACCGCTGTTTCTACAATGCTTTCAAATAAACCCTCAAACGTTTTGTCTTTACGCGATTTAAAGTAAAGTCAAGAATACTTGATGGTGGAATTGTAATTGCCGCTAAAGTTAAAATTAAATTGTAAGAAAAGGAGACTCAGTTGTTTCCGTTACCTGGAGCATTTCTCGAAAGTAATATAATTCAAAACTTTTGTACCTCATTCGCCGCTCTATGCGCAAATGGATGCTGCTATTTGGGACATTTTAATTTGGAATTCTGGAGGTACGACAAGTTTTAATCCATACTTAAAAAACAGCACGGTATAATTCTGTTTTGCGGATTGTTACCGCTTGATGAAGTCAACCCGTTTTATCCTTGTTTATTTAGTTTTTGTTGCTGATTAAGTAGATTTCAGAGAGTTAGTTTTAATCAAGCGTTTTCATATGAGGAATAAATTGAGAAAAGACTTAACAATATCGCCATTAAAAGAATAAAATGGTTACCTTTTCTGGTCTTGTAGATAGTCAATACCCGTCTTTCGTGATGGTGTTCTTTGTTCCCTTTTCTCCAGGATCTTATCTGAAAAAAAAACATATTGTATAAATTTACAGATTCTCCGGAAATCACTGTTGGTAGATCGTGGGTCAATTCCGCGGAGGGACTAGAAGCAAAACTGATATGCAATGTTGACGCTGACCCCCATGCAGAGGTAGGATTACTCTAAACTCCTAATAACTACGAGCAATTTTGAAATTAATTTTCGTTTTAAAGGTAATGTGGTATCAAGATTCTTTTCCTGTCCAAATGACAGACAGAAGGGTTACATCTTCAGCGACAAGATCACACATCCTGACAATTAAGAATGTTCAGCCGTCAGACTTCGGGAACTACAGCTGCGTTGCTGTAAATTCCGTAGGGAAGGAGAAGAGATATATAGAGTTGTCGGGAAGACCCGGGCCACCCCTCATAGTTAGTGGCGGCAGATCAAATCCAACCACCTACAAACTCACATGGAAAGTTCAAAGTGTCTTTCCTATCATTGAAGTGAGGATAATCTTCAGGCAACTTTTTGTGAGTGGTTTTTTCAATTTGTTAATCTTTTAATCAGTGAATTGACTTCAAAAAACTACTGTTGTTAAGTTTGTAAAAGAAAAACTTTGCACGTCAGCGAAAATTTCGTCGAAATAATGCGTTTTGTAGTTTAATATTCAAGGGACGTATGTCAATCACAAATTTCCCTCCTGCAAAATCTAAACAAGCCAATATTCAGCGCGCGTCTTCGCTCAAGTTTTTCCAAGAAAAAGAATAATAATCTCATTTTTTGTTTGGGGAAAGATTGAGGGGAAAACGACGGAGTCCTTTCTCTCTAACTTGCTACCTGCATCGACTTGTAATTCGCTTTCGGTGAAAACCGAAAGCGCGCCACTCAATTTAAGATAATAAATGTAAATTTATGACAGGCCCGCAGAAGAATGTCTTATTCATACACGATCTGGGCGAAAAATCCGGAAGGAAAGACAAAACGAACAAAAATTTACATCAATCAAATCAGAGAAGACAGATGCATAAGACATACCAACGTTAAAAACTTATTAACTTTTTATTACACTGTCATTTATCATCTCAAAATTTGATTTTAAACTGCAATATATACCTTAATCTAACAAATGGAGAAATAGCGCAGTCAGTTACGTGGTTGATTATAAAACAAGCGATCGCAGGTTCGAGTCTGTCGCGCAACACTTTACCAAAAAGCTTTTTCCGCATACTTCGGATTTCAAAACTTACTATAACAACCAAAGAGATATAATAATGGTGTTCGTATGCCCAAAAAAAGAACCTTGGAATTATTGTGAGGTCCTAAAAATTGTTAGAGAGATAGTATCAGAAGTGAGAAGTAAAATTTCACAGATAATTGTAACAAGTATTTGATGCAAATGTCTTTACCCTTTAATAGAACTTCTGAATAGTTGATAATGATTTTAATTTCTAGATGAATACCACCTACCATCAATCTGGTCGGTGGCATGACCTGATCGTTCAACCAAACGAAGCCAACTACAATTCCGAAAATAGTGACAGATTACAATGGTACAGGCTTCGAAATCTAAATCCGGACTCCGTATACGAATGTATAGTTCAAGCAAAAAATCAATACGGTTATGGAGACCAATCGATCCTTCACCAGTGGCTCACGTCTTCTCCTGGCAAAACGATCATCGAAATTAATTCAGGTGTTCAGGCCAACAACACATTCCTCGTCGTCTTCACTGCCATCGTTCTGGCATTGTTTAATAGTAATTATTATATTATTAAAACTGTTTCATACGAGAATTATGATAAGAGGCTTAAAATATATAAATAACGTAACAAGTGTTTTATTCCATTAAAAAACTTTCAATATTTAACTGAAGAGGGTCTTCTTCCAGCGTAGTCCGGAAGGACTGCTCACCCACCAGCATTATTACTAGCTGGTGGGAATAAAACGTCAAAATCTTTTTGGGTTTTTCTACCAGAAACTCAAAGATTTAGCGCATCTATAAACCAACCTATAAAAAGGTAAGTGACAGATCGTCTTTTTTTTTGTTCGACACCAACTAGACCGAATTAATTTCAATTTATTCCCTATTCGTTTGTGTCTACGTGTACGTATGTATGTTTGCGATTCAGCCAGGCAGGTGGCTTTTTGTTCTTTTACAAAGAGGCCGCTTGTTCAACTTGTAACCCTTTTCCAGTCCCCTCGTCCTTCAGAGGTTGCTGCTTTTTACCTCCGTCTCTCCCTCTGACGCCACCCCCACCGCCTGCCTTGCAACAAAACGTGTCTCAACAAAAGGTTAGGATTAACGTTGATTAAGATGAAAAGTGCTCTTCAAACGAAACCCAAACGGTAATTTGCGTGTAAATTCAGAAACAACCGCCGGAAGGGGTTGAGCTCTGATATTTCACCACCATAACCCGTCTAACATTAGATAGAAAAGGGAAACGATCGAAGAAGCTTTACGGAATGAATTGTATAAAGGAATTTTTGGGGTTTCCACTATATATGCATTAAAATCATAACGATATTACACTAAACTACGTCAATATAATTCGGAATGTATTAATATTACGTATTATATTATTTGGTAGGTTTTGCGACCAAGTTTTCAAAATTATTCTCAAGTTAAATAAAATTGAAGATAAACATAAGACGAAGGGCTATTTATTTTACGACTTGGTTGTTAAATTTTGCTAATTTCCCTAAGGAAAAGGCACCTCATTAGTAACTTAAATGACATAGACCGTTCTCCCCCAAAACCTTCATCATCACATTTCTCACCGCAATGAAAATTTCCTGAGAATGTAGTACAGTTATCTGCAACAAATATGACAAGCAATAAGAGTGTTTTGTTTCGATGAGCTTTGAACAATTTTTTCTCCATTTAGCCGCTACGTTTCAGTTCGAACGGTGCGAGTTCACTGAACCCTATACAATCCCCTATACCTGCTGCTGTCATTCCCATTATGCGTTTAAGGTTTTAAAGAATTAATCCTGCATTACAATAGACATCCCCGTGTATTATAATAACAATGATCGTCAACGTTAGCTGAAACAAGATACAATTGTTTCATTTGCTTCCGTTGCCACGGCAGGGTTGTAAAGGAATCAAGGGGTTGAGATGCGCTGCTCTGACGTACGGTGTACACAAACGTCCCTGACAGGCAGTAGTAACATGTCATGTACCTATACACATGCGTCTGATATTCGAAAATGTTTCATTAAAACGACAAGGACTCGTTATCAACCGCAATTAAGGCAACAATTGGAGGGGTTGCGTTACAGGCAGATAGTTAGTCTGTTTAATTAATCAACGATTTCAAGTGGTAATGAAAACGGGATAAGTGACACGACAAAATTGCGCTGGAATTCGAAAAAAGGGAACGTATTTCTAAATTACCCATTGCCGTAAAATAGCAACAAAATTGTTTTTATTTTATTTGGTCTCATCGCTCAAAACGTGTTCTTCTGAAATACTACGAATTTGTGAAAAATCCATGCCATCAAGGCTTTAGAAATGAGAATTAATTGGCAACTTTTACACATATGTAGTCAAAAGAACTAAAAAGTTACATTTCAACCTTCATCATTCCCAATTCTAGGTTTTAACTACAACAAGTACCTTTAAAAAATCAAGCAATGAAACAACTTGGTATGTTACAGAGTGGATTCTAAATCTTTCAACATATATATATATTGCGAGTTCAAACCTTCCCTTATACATTTTCCCAACGAACGAAGTTCATAGCAAAGTGATTGATTCCTTAAATAGAAGTAACATTAAATAAATTCGTAGCACCTACATATACAAGATGTTTCTGAAATAATTAGTAAGCTTGCGTGAAAAGAGCACTGTAAAATAAGAGTATTAAATAGATGTATGGTGGTCCTAAAGTCAACCGTTTCCGAGAAAAACCCATTTAAAAATACATACGAGGACCAGTTCTGCCCTGGTAGCATCACGCATTAAAATACGACACTGCAACGCCGCATTCAATAACAACTTAGCAGCATCTATCCAATATTTATTTTTTATTATTTGTCAAATTAGATTAGGTAATGGATGTAGACAGTTGAACTCATTAAAAGTAGGTCAATGTGTAAGTGACATAGGTCAGTGCAGAAAGGTTTCTAGACGAACATTTTTGTAGACGCCGTAATGGACCTACGGGTTCCGTACCTTGGCCGGTGCCTAGTCCTGATATAATCCATTTGACTTCTCTGTATGCGACGTTGTATAAAAAAGCGGATATATTAAACGACGGTGTATAAAGATATTGATTTGCACGACTGTGTATGATCGCTGCAAATGAAGTACGTTAAATGCCGGACGTTTTTTCCCATTTCAGAAATAATATTTATAGAGTACGTAGGTAGATATGTGTATGTCTACTGACAGGAGGATAAAAGATTAGTATTATCCATTCAGACGAAATTAGTTTACATATTAATGTTTACATAACGATAATTTTTTCTTTCTTTTGTGTTCTCAATACCATGTCGAGGTGTACCTACTTTAAATAGTACTGTATACTATCAGAGAAGAATAAAGTATTCACTGCATTAGTTGTTCTTCAATCGTCACTGCTTAGGTACATTTTCCAATGATGCAGTTGCTTAACTATTGTTGCAATCTGTCTGTTCACGTCCAGGGCCGGCTTCGGATTGCAACTTCGATTGGTTTTTTGTCCCTTAACCAAGCTGCTGTACTCACCATGCGATTCCCTATCGCACCCAGTTAACACCCTTTAAAGCGTGCCAATATTCGCTCATATGTATAGTATATAGAAATAAAAAAATTGGTTGAATTATTTACATAAAAGAAGCAAGTTCCGCAGACAAATTAGTTTCATAATTTTACCCGTCTTCCTCTGAAATGTAATATCTGTGACGGCATTTTTAATTCATAAATTTAATGCAATTAAATACGAAAACGAGCAAACTAGGGAGACAAGTTTCCAACTGGATAGAGAGTGCGAATATAAAAGACCCGACTAACTTCAATTTATATGCTTTCTACCTGGCTTATTTGGTGATTTAGCGTTAAAGAGTTAAACTTAAATTCTCGTAATTGAGAATTTATTGAGGGAAAGGGGCATTCTGGCTGCGTCTGCACTGCGGTCTCTTTTGTGCCTGGCCAATTTACATATAAATTACTGGGAAAATGCATTCCGGGGATCTACCGGAATATACATATTATTAAATCAACGTCTCCCGGCTATTTGCAAGTCTTAGAGGCCACTTAATTTATTCCCAAACCCCCAAGTCTTCCCCACCCTTTCCCTTTTCGCGTGCTACCAGAAGAAATTGACTTGCAACCCCCCACGCCCACGCTCAATAGACTCAACTTCTAAACTTTAATTGCATTCCAACTTTGTATCTGGCAGTCGTTCAGAATCACAAAAGTTTAAAGTAGACATCTTTAACATTATCTAAGATGAAGTACCTACCGCCGTTTTACGCAAATCGAACAACAAACCAAACAGAAAAATAAAACCAAACGAAAAGTTTAAAAGAAATTACAAAATTATTTGTTAACGTCATGCACATTTGAGGAAGGTTTAAGCCTATTCCAAATGAAAAGGTTAGCTCAAGATAGGAAAAAGTGGAGGTGCATGGTGACGAAAAATGGCACCACAAAAAGTCACCCTTATTGCAGACCTAGACCGGTAGTAGTATCAAACGGTTAGTAATTAGATCTTTCAAGACAACCTAACCTAACCTTGCTCTACTTTTACATCCCTTACACGCCTATTTCTTTGTTTTATTTTAATTAACATTATTATATCACCAAACGGAAAGAAAAGTATCAAACGATCGTTTTCCTTCCCTCTATTTGCACTTAAACAACACTACCGTATACATGTAATGTTAATTTCAAAGTTAGTCGCTCTGTCCTGCAGGACAAGAGGGATCCGAACACAAAGCCGTTGTCCGTTATGTCACTGCCATCTACGGCCCTTTGCTGATGCTCTTGCTTTAATTAATTAATTGTTACCATAACGGTAACTGCTTTGAGTCTAGCCGCAGTTTCTGCTACTGACGCTGCCAACAACTGTCAGTTTTGTCCTACTCTATTTATGTACTTACTGTCCTTCCCCAGATTCCACTTTAACGAGAATTCACCATCGCAAATGGGTCACTGGCACTAATGCAATTCTTTCAAAATTGAAACGATTTGTTGGAGAGTTAATGGGAAAGAATGGGGAAAACATTGAAACACAATATACATTATGTCTGATCAAGAGAGCGAAAAGTACATACACAAAAATAAGTAGAATGAGTAATCTCGCACCATTTAGGTACTGATATACATAAACATGAAAGTAGTGACCTTACTGAAAACCCCAACTGCTCCGGCAATGATGTCCCTATGTGACCACCATCATTTTCTGCATGTGAATACATTGGTTTTTGTATTTTGTGGTAATGCCTTGTTAATCGAACGCTAACGAGTGCAGATTATTACTAATCGCTACGTACAATTGACTTGTCTACGTATCAGCAGTTGCGAGGGTCACGAATAGGTATGCGTGTTTCGTCAGTTGACGTTTACGATAAGATAACGCGAATGCAAAACTGTTAACAGTTCTCAGTTATTGACGACTCATTACCTGAGGTACTTTTTCGATGTGGATGATGTACGTATGTATTAGATGAAAGAGGAAAACAAGTAATGTTTTAGGAGGGATGAAACATTAATGCATGTACCTCAATAGAACACAAGGGTGGAAAGGTATGCCTTTAATTAAATGTGTACGTAAATTTTTACCATGCAACAAAAGAATTTCTACTGGGTACAAGTCATTGTTCTCGCCGTAATGAAATTTAATCAAAATCATCTAAATGCTCTTTAAACTCACACAAATGTGGCTCCAAGTTTTGGGAAATGAAAAACGGTATAACATAGTAAATAGTAAGTAACTTCTAACAAATATATGTATATCAATAGGTTACTTTTTATCTATAATAACTGTAAAAAAGAGGCAGAAAATGTTTGAGATGTCTATTGAAACAACTGTATTTAATACACCTAAATAAAGAATGTCTGTACGTAATAACATTGTCAATAATTATCTTTTGATGTTGTTTTATAGATTTCAAGGAAAAACAAATTTTGTTTGTGTTAAAATACCCTACTACTTTTGTAATTTTACGTTATCCTTATTCTTAATATCTTTTACTCCGGCGTTTTTTAATTAAAATTGATGATAAAGCCCCGTTCTTAATTTTCTAAATCCGTGCACTAAACCAAAGACCTTTTTTTCCCCAGCTTAAAGAACATCGGGTTTCATCAATTGGAATTAAAATTTAAAAAAACGGGAGAGTAGAGCAAAAGAGACAGTGTACAATATTCAAATTCCGCCACAAATCCGCAACATAATTCACCCCGATCCCTTAATCAGCAACCTTGATTAATTAAACGGCTAACAAACGCATATCGAATCGATTTCTCGGATCAAAATTACGTTTATATGATTACAATTTTATAAACCTACATATATATGAACGTCTATTCTACGAGGTGGACCAAATTTAGACGAAATAAAAACCATTTCACTAAATTCCGTACCTAATCAATACAAAAGGGACGTGATTTGGTAACGCAGAGTAGATGTAATGTAACGAATTGCGATAAGAACTGCAACACCAATAGAATGTAAACAGTAGTTAAACTAAAGGAACACTGACACTGCTAATTGCCAGGTGATTGAATACAGCGTTGCGTTGTCGTATTTCTGTGGTGATTTACCAGGGCCGGACTGGCACTTTTTTAATCAAAATATGTACATACGGTGGTTTTATTTCTCTTTGTCCTTTAATGCCAATACAGTTAAAGAAAATATACGAAAAATATACATTTGCCAATATACACATTTATGCAATAACTGAACAGTACGGATATCTACATTATGTATCTATATGTAATGACATCATCCTCTCCGCTATTCAGGAAGTGCTTTCAGACACAAATGTATGTATATGTTCGTGCCCGTAGGTATGTGTGTGATGGGCGATAAGGATCGACAAGCTACATTTCCTTAGAGCGTACAAAACACCTCTTCGATATCTTAATACAATACTGTTGGTATACATATTAAACGTATGTATACCCAGCTATTCTAGAGAACGAGGCAATTTTGTAACTAGCAATGAAAGGTTGTATTACAATGCTATATTCACACACAGTAATGCCCAGTATTATTATACAATAAAAATAATTAAAAATGAATGCTATCAACTACTGCCTTCGTTAGTTCTTTGTAGTTTCTCCATATTGAAAGGGACCAAAAATGGTGTCTTAACTAGTATTAATGCTAAAAAGTACCGAGCTGATAAAAATTAAACCCATATTATTTCAGTTAGGCACGATCAGGGTGGCGCGTCCCCACGACCCCCATGTATTTATGCCACTGTGTTTACTGAAGCGTTTTTCTCTTGTGGAAATGTCAGAATGAAATTCGAAATCCAGTCGCTGGTTATTGCTTTGCAACATTGTCACAATCCTCTGCGGATGTAACTAGGTATAATAATTCTTTTATTTGAACAGAAACTAATTTCTGTTCTTTCGCTTGAACGGATTCTTTCATTAAATTGATATCGTCATGATTGAACTCGTCTCTCGTAGGAGGTAGCACATGGCCTGTTGTTTCCCGATCTGAACCGTTGTTATAGAGCGATTTTCCGACGACGTGTGCTAGCGTCGAGACGGCCGTCGTCGTATATTATTACGGGAAAGAGCACACCCAGCTGACGTGGCGACGTTCTGCAACATCAGCCGATTCCATCGCACAGTAACTGCTTGCTAGCAGGTTGCAAAAGGTAATTTGAAGTCGGTAGGTTGGCAGTTTAACAACCGTTGTCGTCTTTTCATGATGACGAACTGCGAATAGCTGACTTTACAAAAATGATAACGGAATAGGGTAACAACATCCATCGCGAACAAAAGAATGAATAATATTAAACTGGCGCATCCAGCCATGTTCCGAAAGACATGCTTGAAATATATATAAGCAGGCTTTAAAGGCATATCACAATTAAAGTGAGGTTAAGTTATCGTCACTTGAACAATAGAGGACCCTGTCAACTCTCATGGGAGACGCCGAAAGGTGTTTAAACTTCTTGAGCCCATTATAACTCGAAAGGAAATAACAATGAACAAAATACTATTTATGCTTAAAACGGGGCACTTTTTATCAAATACAAGGAGTAAGTTTAACAGTAAAGATCCCTGGAGAACGTTAAAAATATCAGAAAATAATTGGAGGAATCTTTACCCTGCTGAATAACCAAACTATGTAGAACTGATTGAATTTTTATCTACATAAAGGTTCTTGTGAGACGAATACTCATGTGGAAAGACACAAGAACTTTAGAGATGAATTATTGGGTATGTTTTCGTGGTCGCCCTGTATCGCTGTAGGGATTTTGTTATCGATTTCGTATAACAGTTAATCCGCAGTAGGTCGTATAATGCCGACTGGCGCGATCAATTCTCAAACGCACAGCATTTAGCTGAATATCGTATTAGAAACAAACAACAACGGGAAATAAAATGAATTGTTGCGCGCGAGAGGCAATTCAAATTTCATATCGCGACCATAAATTCCAGAATAGCTGCTGCTGTCACCGGCACAATGCATGGCTGTTGTGTCGGATTAGATTAGGTGGGTTAGTAAACACGCTGCCCCCAATTGGGACGTAATAAATCATACAGCCATCAACTAATTTAATCGAATGGCTTGCTGCTGCCACCCTCCTCTCACTCTCTGACAGACGCCATCTCTCCATCGGCATCCTCCTCTACCTCCCCTTCTAGCATTAAAGCCTGCCAGAAGCTTCAGAGTCAATTAGGAATCGATTAGAGCATTCCCTTTATCAGAAGAATTCGTTAGATACACCAGCTTCTTTACAAACTTCTTCACTTGGAAGCAATCTATGTTTAAGTGCCAACAAAAGTGAGTTGACGCTGACTTATATACGGCTGCTAGAGAGTGGAGGGGGAATCTAACAAGAGCGAATCAGATACCGAGCTGTCCGCGTATAAATACAGTAGAGGAAGACATACGACGAGAAGTAATACTTCAAGCTACAGGTCCATCAGTTTGCCCAGTTCTCTGAGCAAAGTAGTAGAATCCATCCTTCCAGACCGGCTTCTTGACCACATGTGACGATACGATAAATTTTCCCTAATCGGCGCCATGTTTTTAGGCTCCTCCCATTTGACGGATCCCAATAACAACAAAATAAAAATTATATACGTATTTACAATGTTATGAAATTTTTTTATTAAACACGTTTTCCTGAATGCGAGCAGTTATTAATATCAAATTTCTGTTTTCGATTAGTTTCAAATAAACGTCCAGCGTTATGTTTAAACTGAAATAATTAAATGCAAACACTCCACATTTAATGAAAACTATTTGAACTTACGAAATGTATTAATATGATTTGCTTTGCAACTGAGGTAGATACGTACATACAATTAATTAAAACTTTATCACATTCGTAGTTCAGGAACAACATAAACCCCCACGTACATATAAATGAAGGTCTACTCTAGCAGCCCCTGGGGTGTAGCGGTCGCCATTCTAGTACTAATTGAATTCTGACCGAATTTACCTTTGACGATTAAATATAATAACAATAATACCTGTAATAATCGTAATAAAAATAATAACTCCATATACAAGAAAGATGGACAGATATTTTTAAGTTAATAAGTTTTCACATAAAATAATTCAAAGTGGTCTGTATTCTGTCGAAACTGCCAGACGCGGATCGCGATTTCGATCTTTTTGGATCTCATCAGCGCGTCGCAGACAGCTCCGACAGAACACAGACCAACTTTTACCTGCTGTCTTAACAACGCGTATTAGAAAATACCACAAATGGCGCGGTAAACGCCATCTGTAGCACGATGCTACATTTTAGGATTATGTATGCTCGAACAAGGTCCATTTAAATATATATGGATATCTACTTGCTGAAACGAATCCCGGCGTAGCTAACCTCAACGTGATAGGCACGTAACCATAATCGAATAAAATAATTCGAAGTGGTCTGTATTCTGTCGAAACTGCCAAGCGCGGATCGCGATTTCGATCTCCTTGGATCCCATCAGTGCGTCGCAGACGTAAAGTGTAGCATCTTACTACAGATGGCGTTTACTGCGCCATTTGTAGTATTATCTAAAACGCGCTGTAAAGACAGCAGGTAAAAGTTGGTCTGTGTTCTGTCGGAGCTGCCTGCGACGCGCTGATGAGATCCAAAAAGACCGAAATCGCGATCCTCGCCTAGCAGTTTCGACAGAATACAGACCACTTCGAATTATTTTATTCGATTATGGTAACGTGCCTATCACGTTAAGGTTAGCTACGCCGGGATTCATTTCAGCAAGTAGATATCCATATATATTTAAATGGACCTTGTTGGAGCATACGTAATCCTAAAATGTAGCATCGTGCTACAGATGGCGTTTTCACAATTTTCATATTTATTACTAAACCTTGATGTCGTAAAAATACTCAATCTATTGAAGTCAGAAAATTGAAAAATTTATTTATTTACTACGATAATTGAAATATTAGTTCATGATACAGTTTAATATTAACGTACTCTCTGATAATATGTTTATAATTTTCAAGTGCAAGCAATACGTTATAATAATTATGAGTAATTCTCCTCCTATAATAATAATAAAATCTTATCAGTTATCTGATAAGCCTAATCAAGGTATTAATTTGATTTGTGTGATTTTCAAATAATGTAGGAGTTTAGTGTAAATTTCTGTTAAGTTACGTCCGGTGCTAATATAAAGCAAAATAATGAAGAAAACTGCTCAGAATGTATTTTGGTCGTCGATTATTTTTTATTATATCATTCATGTAAGCCCCTGCTTGAGTAACTCATAGCTATATAATAATTCAATTTTGTTTGCAGTAGGTAATGTTGTTATTATGAACAAAATTTCAGACAATAAGTCAAGATCTAGATGGAACATATTGTTATACCGATAACGATGAAGACAATACTACATTTTTGGAGTTCATGAATTCATTAGATACATTTACATTTAATACCAATTACACAATCAAAATTAGGAATTGTACAAATGGACAAGAATCACCATCACAATATGACTATATTTTGGACAACAGTGTTATATGGGTGAAAAGGTAATGTAAACTGATACATATGCTTTGATTAAAAAACAAATTCAAAAATACTTTGATTAAATACAAACTAATAAAATAAAGTCAAACTTTAATTATATAACGAAAGTTATTTGAATTAGTTATGGTTTCTTTTTAAATCTAACTCTATGTTACCTAAAAGCATTTTCAGGAATTTTTCTAAGTTAATAGTATTTAAAAGAGAAATATGTATTCAAATTCCTCAAAAATAGTTTAATTGTTTCTAAAGAAGATTAATAAAGAACAACTTAAGTACCTTTTGTAGATGCAGACTGTTACATATGCTTTGATTAAAAAACAAATTCAAAAATACTTTGATTAAATACAAACTAATAAAATAAAGTCAAACTTTAATTATATAACGAAAGTTATTTGAATTAGTTATGGTTTCTTTTTAAATCTAACTCTATGTTACCTAAAAGCATTTTCAGGAATTTTTCTAAGTTAATAGTATTTAAAAGAGAAATATGTATTCAAATTCCTCAAACATAGTTTTATTTCTTCTAAGGAAATTTAATAAAGAACAACTTAAATACCTTTTGTAGATGCATGAAAAATCCGATGAAATACTTGCGTATATATATGATGAAAATGCATAATAAAGTTTTTAAAACATTTGCAAGACACCTTCACTTAACTAATTAATTAATTGTAAACTTGTAATTTATTTATTGTTAATGTATGTTTTACGTAAGTTCAAATTAATTTCGTAATTATATGATTCTAAACACCTCCGCGACCGCGAACTGTAAGTAATAATAATACTTCGACGTGTTTGTTCAGACATGAGCAAGTAACTGAACCGTTGTGTTAACGTAAAAACAGTTAAAGTGTAAATATCCCACGACCTTGTCAGGGTCATTTCTTTAAAAACAAGAATTTATTCGAATAATAGCAAATGGCTAGTATAGTAAACAGAAACGAATCGCTGCTATTTATAGAATAGTTTTAATAAAGTTATTCACTTTTTCTTAAGGGTTAATAAATCAGTTTTTATAAAATAAAATTGTAAAATAAATTAAACGAATTTTTAATTAAAAGTAATATCGTATTATTACTATTTTTTGTTTATGATTTCTTTTGCAGGTTTGAAATTTACGACGAATTCCACGACGATTTAGTGTTATGTAAAAATTGTTCAACAACAAACTTCCAGGAATGTATGAAAGCTGTTAGATCGGAAATGACCATCAGGATAGGGAATAAAACTGATGAAATACAGGACTTTTTATTACAAACTAAAGAAGAATTAGAATCTAATTGTTTATAACAAATAAAATAGCATTAATCACACCACACACATTTATTTCCATTTTACAAATCTTAAGTGCATACAACAAATATAAGTTTTTTATGTGATACAATAAGTTTTAATAATTAGATAGGTATTAAATAATTAGTTTATAGCATTAAGTGATCTGAATGCAAGAATCCTGCATGTATTAACCAGTTAAATACTTCGAAATTGGATTAAGAGTATTAAAAATGTAATTCCTGTAACCACAGCCTGTAATAATAAATTAAATAGATAACACAACAATTATATGAACACAACTTTCAAAACAGAAATAATCGAAAAACTTTGATCTGAACATATTGTTTTAATTGTAACAATTACCTTTGCTAATAGGCTGTGGTCCAAGATAAATATTCCGCATATTGTCAATTTTTCTTCTCTTTCAATAGCGTATTCAAAAAAATTAATGAGCTGCAACAAATAGTTAATTACATATTAACATCGTAACAATGTTATGTGTAGAGGGTCCAGGAATTAAATTAGTAAAATATAAAAGGTCTAAAGCTTAATTCAATACTTTATATGGATCTATGTCCATGTGACCGAGCGTCATGACCTAGAAGTTTAGACCATTGCTTGGCATTCGGGAGGACGTCGGTTCGATTCCGGGTCCGTCTGCCTTGGTCCAAGTTTTCCTGTTGTTTCCTTGGATCACTCAGGCAAATGCTATATTCCACATATAATATTTCATTCTCTTCTGTCTTCATTTCGTCCGTCTCATCCTTCTCACCCAAACTACCCACTCCCACGATTCCTGAAAGGAGACTGAAGAGGGCTTTCCGGCATAGTCCACAGGGACTGTCCGCCCAGCAGCATTTCCACATACCTTCCAATGATAATGATAAGCAAAATTGATCTTTAAATGATTTGTTTTAATTTCTACATTGTCCTAAATGGTCCCAGGGGTTTCCTAGGACTCCATGGTTGTGTGTTTTACAAAAATTCGGGTTCGAATATGGGCTGTATTCAGTTTCGTAAGTTCAAAAGGTGGAAGAGGTTGAGTTTTGCCAAACAAGCTGACGAAAATGGTACTATCACCCAAAAGTACTCTATATAGAGAGTCACTAAAAGAGTCACTGTACATGATCGTGGGTCTTGTAATCCAGAAAACTGAAAACGATCGAAAAAATGCATCCCGACCCTGTCCACACATGACAAAAACTACAAAGGATGTTTTGGAGATGGAGACTCGTATTAATTACGATACCTTCAGGTACAAATAAATCAAAAACTATTATAATATTTCCACCTGGACCCCCCTCAAAAAAATTAATAATGTTGCTGATAAACAAAAAATAATTAACTTTTAGTTAATTGTAATGTTTAATTCGTGTACCTCTTGTTTCGTAGCTGTCGGCAAACCTCTGTGAATGAATCTAGATATCAAAATCTTGGTCGTGTTGCCCTAAAGAAAAGAAATAAGAGTACACATGAATTAAATCCATTCGTTCCTATTTTACTAACTTACTTCATCTGTGACGTAGTTGGCCACAAAACAAGCCAAAAAAAATTTCATCAGAACTAACACCATCCATAGTGTACTATTAAAAAGCTGTAAATTATTAATATCCGATGCTGATAATTGATAATTACTATAAACCGAGTAGTACAGGCAAAACAGAACGAAAAAGATGTAAGCAAAAGTGGATGATAACAAATTCGGACTATAATACAGATTTAGATTAGTCAAGGCTTTTGTTAGCCTAACATGCGCTAATTTTAATTTTTGTATATCTTCAGCGGCAATATTAGAAGAACTACAATTCCTTACTGAGTTGTAACCTGGAGGATAATTTGATGCTCCTGTCAAATGTAATTCGTCAATCACGTTAGAAATTCTGTTACAGTTAACACCAGCATCTAAAAAATAAAATTGTGACACAACAAGATTGTAAAACATGTTAAGACAGTGTCTACATTTTTAACTCAACAAATGAGGGTTCTGACACTAAATTAGGGTATTTTCGTATATTTTGGCCTTACATAAAGGGTGGAATCGCCTATCATATTTAAAATTTGAAGTTTGGTAAAAATCTGGGTTAGTAGGTCGACCACCTACCACCAAACACCAGTTTAAAACAAACGAGAATGCACTAGAATGTTCTTGAATATTTCTAAAGTTGTCCTCAACTAGAATGTTCTCGAATCTCTAAGACTGTTCTCAGGTAGAATATTCTACAGTGAATTGGACAGGAAGAATGGAGAACGTTCTGTAATGTTCGAGCATCTTTATGTTTGAGTGGTGGAGGTAGATTCTGACACTGGAATTTTTATGTATTTCAATCAAAGCACCCTAAAGAAACAGTGGAATCTCCTGTAATGTTTGTAATTTCTTCAGTATGTTGAATGTCTAGGTTAGCAGGTCGACCATCGACCACCAAACACCAGTTTAAAACAAATGAAAATGCATCAGAATGTTCTTGAATATTTCTAGCGTTGTCCTCAACTAGAATGTTCCCGAATGTCTAAGATTGTTTTAAGGTGGAATCTTCTAGAGTAAACTGAACAGGAAGAATGGAGAACGTTCTGGAATATTTGAGGATCATTACGTTTGAATGGTGGAGTTGGATGTTTCTGGCATTTTCATGTATTTCGACCAGTGTCCTAATATGTAGGCATTGGAAAAAGATTTTCAAAGTATAAGAAGAAAACAAAAAGCTAAAGATATTTCAGATGTCGTGTTATAGGCAGAGCTAGAAATTGTAAGGTATGTAAAAAAGTAGGACAATTATAGGTAGGTCAACGAATTGGTCACATATTCATGTACCTCTTATAGTAATAAACCACCACTGCCTTTATTATTCATCAAACTTACTGCTATTTAGTAGAATATCATCACCCTTCGTCATCAGTGTTAAACTTCTTAAACTTTTGTTAATCACTTTGAATCTCGTGTATACCAAATTGCAGAGACAAAGAAACTGACATTCAGTTAAACCAAATCCTGTGTTGTTAAAACGCACAACGACATAATTCAGTATAGACATTAGGGATCCATCACTGTTATACATTAATGAATATAAATGAAATGGTAGGGGCAAGACAAGTATTACGAAAAATATAAGCTTCATTTTTCTAGCATCTTCTTTGAGGGTTGAAGAGGCCGAAGGCAGTACGACATCCACTTCTTGTAGAAGATTAAAAACTTTCATGAGTTGCTTCCCGTCCGAAAATAATAATGATAGCCGCGAACATACAACCATTATGGTGAATATTATGGGGCGGCCAAATTCGTAAATTAAATGTTTACTTGTAGTTATTTTATGAAATTGTTGAATCTAAAACATTAAATAAGTGTCATGTATACGTACTATGTAATAGTAATGTAATGTATCTGTTATAGACCAAGTGGTTAATAGAACATTATAAAAAATGCCCGCGCCGTTTGGAATATGCCCAACATGAGAGGGCAGTGTGATAACACAACTATAGAAATAATCAAATCGACCAGTCATTCTCTGCAACACTTGTCACCTATGGGGCAGGACAATTAAAGCCAGGTTTTATAACTGTTATTTTAATTTCAATAGTGGAATTAATATTGCTTCATCATCATAAGGTCGTCAGTCCTAAAACTGGTTGGACACGCACATCCACTCCTTGTTATCCTGAGCTAACCTTCGCATTTTCCTGAAACTAGAACAACCTACATCCTTAACTATTTGCGAACAGTAATCTAATCTAGGTCTACCCCTACTCCTCTTAACTCATGTTTCTGCTTCTAATATGTCTCTCACTTAACCTATCTCGCCTATTTCTTATTGACTTCTATAAAGTCTTCTATTCTCTTATTTTTTTTCTTTTAACACCTCTTCATTTCTAACCTTCTCTATCCACGGTATCCTCATCATTCGTCTCCACCACCACGTTTCGAACGCTTCTAACCTTTTCTTTTCCGCCCCGTCCACCATCCATGTTTCGCACCCGTACAGCGCCTTGCTCCAAACATACACCTTTAACAATCTCTTTCGAATTTCTAAATTCGTCGTTCGCGAGCATAGAAGTGACTTCTTTTTATTGAAGGCGACTCGACCCTGCGCTATCCTCTGCTTTATATCCCTACTACTCCTTCCGTCCTGACTTATCTGACTTCCTAGATACCTTAAAACAGTCACTTCTTCTAATCTATCGTCTCCTATCTTTACATTGGCCCTTTCCCTACTTTTTGCATACCAGGATTTTTGTTTTACCTTTATTTATTTACATACAATATTGTTTTGTCAACACCGCTTCCATTTTATTTAAAGCTATCTCTAACTCGTCCTTGCTAGATGCTAATACTGCTATTTCATCTGCAAATCTAAGCATACTAATCTTTTTCCCCTGTATATCTATTCCTACAGTTGTACTGTCTTTAATGATGTTAATCTTGTCTTTGATGATAATTATCAATAATTAGATTTATAATTTCTACTTATTAGTAGTCTAAATCCTAGTTAAACTTTTGAACTTCAAATGTCAAACTGTTGTTAAAACTTTGGTTACAATTAAATGAAATAAGGGCATTATGAATAATGTCCCTATTTACTACTTGGTCCATAACGTATCTATTAGAATGGTGTAACTTACCTTTTTAGTGTAAAAGAAATCTTGTACAAGAAAACATAAAAAGACTAAAGATAACAAAGTAAATAAGAAACATAAAAATCTTGCAAGTTTTGAAAGCACTAAACTTTTACGTTTTAGATCACATTTTACAGTTGTTACTCCTGTAACAGTACTAAGAAGAAATAGCGGTTGGAATAGTTCAAAAATGTTCTTTTTTCGGTTCTGAAGCTTTCTTCTTAAATATCTTCTGATCATTTTGCAAAATTTCAGACAATTACTTTGCTTCAACTACCCTTTCGGTGTATACTAAAGAAACGCCTTGAATATTTTTTAAATAAACGTCAATGTTTTTTTTTTTTAGTAATAAGTACAAAAGCTTTTAACTTTATTAGCTTTGATTTTTCGCAATTTTTTTAATTAAGTTTGCTTTCAATTAGAAAACCTTTTGTTACAAGATAATTTAAAACTAAATATTAATTCTCCTTTTCTTTCATCCCTTTAATGATTAACAAACAGTGCATCATTAGACGAAGTTTGAAGTCACTAAAGAAAATCATTTTTCTATTGAAACGGAAAAATGAGACAGCAGGGTGCAAATATTTTAAAATCTTTTTCTCCCATAGGGACGATTAGTAATTTTTTTGGCATGTATGTCTTAAAAATGAATAAAACAGAAACTAAATTGGTTTTGTCGTCATTTTCTATCGTTTTTATTTTATTAACTGTTATGGTTAATGCAGTTCAATTGTTTTATATTTCGAAGAGTATTGATGTTTTTGTGGTAAGTGTTTATAAAAAAATCTTTTTCCGCATTTATTCTGTTATCCTTTTTTAGTCTTGTACTTCAAAGAATGCTACCGAAGAAACAGAGATAGTTTCCAATATCCAAAAATTCAAATTAGGTTCCATGAGTGTTGGATCATTGTTATTCAGATTAATTTGTTTATTTACATCGGCCAAAAAGCTACCAAAAATATTTACGACGTTCAATGCTGTAGACAATTTGTTAAAAATTAAAAATTCATCTTATCAGAAAGAGCGTCGGTTTATTCTACTTTTGGTGGCAGTTTCTTTATCTCTGGGTCTCTCTGTTTATATTTCAAACTCCATTTATGCGTATATAACAACACCATGCAGACATTATTTACCTTATGCGATACATCTCTTAAATACGTACCAATATCTAGGGGTTGCTTCTGTAGAAATTCAGTTTTGTGCCTTGNTAAATTGGTTTTGTCGTCATTTTCTATCGTTTTTATTTTATTAACTGTTATGGTTAATGCAGTTCAATTGTTTTATATTTCGAAGAGTATTTTTCCGCATTTATTCTGTTATCCTTTTTTAGTCTTGTACTTCAAAGAATGCTACCGAAGAAACAGAGATAGTTTCCAATATCCAAAAATTCAAATTAGGTTCCATGAGTGTTGGATCATTGTTATTCAGATTAATTTGTTTATTTACATCGGCCAAAAAGCTACCAAAAATATTTACGACGTTCAATGCTGTAGACAATTTGTTAAAAATTAAAAATTCATCTTATCAGAAAGAGCGTCGGTTTATTCTACTTTTGGTGGCAGTTTCTTTATCTCTGGGTCTCTCTGTTTATATTTCAAACTCCATTTATGCGTATATAACAACACCATGCAGACATTATTTACCTTATGCGATACATCTCTTAAATACGTACCAATATCTAGGGGTTGCTTCTGTAGAAATTCAGTTTTGTGCCTTGTGCTATTTTGTGAGAACTCGAATAACTGAAATTCGATCGTCACTCAAAGCAATGGTTAAAGCATCACGATATACTTACAGAAAAGGTAATCCAAACTAAGAAAGTCATCATCATCATCATCATAAGGTCGTCAGTCCTAAGACTGGTTGGACACGTACCTCCACTCTTTCCTATCCTGAGCTAAACTTCGCATTTCCCTAAAACTAGAACAGCCCACATCCTTAACTATTCGCGAAGAGTAATCTAATCTAGGTCTACCTCTACCCCTCCTAACTCCTGTTTCTGTCTCTAATATGTCTCTGACTAGACCTTCATGCCTGAGAAGATGTCCTGCCAACCTATCTCGCCTATTTTTTATTAGAAAGTCATACCAAAAGTAAAATAACAATACATCCAGGTTTTCAATAAGCCGATACCTATATTAACCTCTTTAAAAAAATTGAGTGGATCTAAACGTTTCTGCTCGGATGTATTGTTGGTTGCATATATATTACGAAAATGTTGTCAAAACTCAACCGTACATAATAAACGAATATCTGTATCAATTTATTCTTAACCTGGAATAAAAAGGCTATTCAATATAAATAAATAATTAAAACATGTAAAATAAGTCATATTGCCTAATTGTTTATATTAGCAAATATTTTTTTTCTAATCCTTTAGGAGAAGCACGAAGACAAGCCATTTACCCTCCGTCTAACACGACTTATGTTGCCCAAAGGATTCATTTATTAAATTTGGCGTTCAGGAAGTTGCAGGATGTAACCCTGGACATTAACAATTTCTTCGAAACTAGCTTTCTGTTTTCAATAACCAATTTGACATCTCATTTCATTTTCGAACTTTACTATTTTCTATACGGTTCTGTTTTGGATATAAATAAACCGATGTTTGAAGACCCGCTGGCATTTATGAATGTTTCAGTTAGCATTGCTTGGGCTGTTTACTATTTTTCAAGGATTTGTTTCATATGTTTATTTGCATCTTCAATTACAACCCAGGTAAAGTAGACGAACAAAATTTACCATTTCAAAATCTATTTATAGCCTTTCTTTAATTAATTGTCAGTTACACCAAAGAAGGCATAGTTATGATAGAACTGGTATCATTTAATGAGAAATGTGCTTCAAAAGAGTGAATTGTTTGACTATTAAATCACCCATTTACTAAGCATATCTAAGTAGGTACTATTTATAATTTTCATTTATTTTTCTCTAGGAAAATTTGTTACAACGTTCAATAACTACCAACTTATCAAGTTCCTTGGGGGATGATATAAGCGAAGAGGTGAATTAGTTTTAGAAATAGAAAATATAAAATACAAAGTACATGTTTCTATATTGCATTTATCTAAAAATTTTTTTGTTTGGAAAAACATTTTATATTTGTATTTTTAGAAACGTATTTTCTTTTTGTAAATAAGGAAAACTATTTTGTATTTCATATTTAAATCAGCCAATCAAATAATTGTTTGTAGATTAGATATTTTTAACAGACCATTTTGTACATTTTCTACTTAATATAATGGTAGGTGTCATTTTCAGATAAGATTTTTGTGGATGACGACCAGATCCAGAAATATAAACTTTACAATTTATTCATATTTCCATTTAAATAAGCGCTTTCTGAAGCAGGTAAGAAAACCTGTCGAATTCCTTTTTCTTCTTCTAGATTTTCGTTGTGGTGTTTTCATTCAATTTTCAATTCTCGAACCTGGCGATTTGTTTTAGATCTTGGCCAACACATCAACATATCTCCTTGTTTTGATTCAATTTCTTGAAGCGCAACGAAAGAACTGATTTACTTACTGATAAATAATGAAAGCACCCTCCCACCCCACAGTATGGGGTCATATTCTAACAAATACTAATTCTCACAAATAACTACACAAAATCTATTTAAATGAATATGTATCACTTGAGATGTAGCACACTTAATAAATTATCTCGAATCACATGATTACTATTTTTACTAAACACTTTGTATATATGTGAAGTTATACTTCGTTTACTTTCTGCAGCGATGTGACCTTCAGTTTGACCGGCGCAAAGTAGAAAAGAACAGCACTAGGCCAGAAAGGGAAGGAGACAACTCTCGGCCAAACTCTTAACCGGTGAGGAGCGTATAGTCCGTACAGTACTACACGGAAAAATTGACCATTTTATCCAATACAATTGCATTGCTCAAATGTGCTGTTATTAGTACCGTTTACTACTGAAAATATCAACGAGATGTTTATT